ATTCCTGCTTGTCCCTCCCTTCCTCTATAATCCCCTCAAAATAATCAGCATAGACAAAGTCAAAGGCCCTTTTTAGCAGTTGACATTGAAAAGTGAGGGACAACTCTAACTACGAGAGTGGATATTTCTCTTTGCAACACCATATGTGCACTTCAGTTTGAAGTGGGAACACTACTCCAAACATACAGGAGGAAGCTTTGGAAACCACCTGTGTGTAAAAGGCTGTGAACACATCAAATATACCATTATGTGTTCCGTCTGCACTTCACACTTGGCCAGGTTTATTGCTACCAGTTTCCCCTTCCTGAAAACAGCTCCTTTATCTTTGCCATGTTATGTTACAGGTTGCCTTCTATACAGGCTATGGCAACACCCCAACCCACATTATTTTTAAAAAGTGACAATGACTTTAAGGAAACACAAAAACACAGCAATATCACAAATCACAACAGGGATATGCAGTTGCCCTTCCCTCCCTTCTGCCCAAAACAAGTAATAAATAAACAGTGGAAGGTCAGTCCTGTGTTTCTCAAGTGCAGCTCAAAACAAGCCCCGAGTTACTAGAATTTCTCTGGTAGTTACAGCACAACTTCCTCCTCTGTCATAGTAAGATGAGCAGAAGAGCCCTCTGACACACTCTGCCTCCAGAAAGCTGCCCCAAGGGAGTTCAAATTGCTGGTAAATGACCACATTCTCAGACAACACTGTTCCTTAACATTAAAAAAAAAAAAAAAAAAAAAAAAAAAATCGAGGCTTACATAAGCAACAATAAATCATCTTTCTCAGCTAAGCTGAAGATGCGACCAACCTGGTGGTAAAGCAAGATTTTCAAAACTGTTCTCTTAATGGTTAGAATTTTAAAGCAGAAACAGTATCTTACTGCCAACAGAACATTTTCTATTTCTCAATTCTGTCAAAACTGCCTTTCAAAAATATTTTGCAACAGTAAGATAACAACTCTTCTCCTTTAAATGCAGTCACTCCCTCACACACGCTTTGCAAAATGAGAAGAAAATCTTAAATATACAAACTGGAAACATGGACAGTATCTGCTCTTAGCTTTGCTTCTGTTAATAGTTATGCCTAAAGTTTAAGAGCTTTCTGAGCTGAAGCATCTCTTAGAGCATGTAAATTTTACTACAGCAATGACAGTTAGAAGACAACGTCCTTATTGCGAAGATCCCATTTCAGTATTTTCAGGTGCCATTCAGAAGTACTTGAGAACACCACATTAACAGCCTAACTCAACTCCTAACAGAAATCTTTCTGTAGTAAATACAAAACTACAAATATTTTCACTAAACACTGGTTCTAGGTACAAAAATAAAGATGAAGAGGCTAATTTTCAGAAATTATGTGTTACCTTAAAAAGGAAAGTTAAAAAAAAAAAGGAAAGAAAAAAAATTTTACAAAAAAAAAAATCAAACATCAGGTACTCCAAGTTTCCCAAGTTAAATTCACCAAAATTGAAACATCAAATTACAGTCTTGGGCAAAGGATAGTGACTCACTCCCCCCTCCCCCCTTCATACGTGTAGGTATCACTACATTCACCTTAAAGATCAATTACTGATCACATAACTATGTTGCCTCTGAGCCAAGAGGAAATCCATTCACTATTTATCTTTTGGTTTTCCTATCCTGCTGCACAGGGTAAGCTGCACTTTATAGTTGAAGTCTCAGAGACGACAGAGCACCACAGTTCTCTTGCACGTATTTGTGTAAAGTGAGACAGCAGAGTGGAATGGAAAGTTTGTTTCTTCCTTTAAACTGTAACTATCAGTGCAATATCATCCATACAGAATAGCGTGGCATTTTACAGCCCCTGAATACCACTTCTGGGCACTGAGTTAATTTATAGGCAATAACGTAGCTGAGAAAGGCAGCTGGGAAAAAAAGTGGGGGATAAAACATTTTGAGTGACAGCAGTAATTAAAAAAAGTCAAATAGCACAAAGTCCATCCTTGTAAAGAATTCCAATAAACAAGTTAATGAAGCCATCCTCTTCCTGACTCCAACCAAACCACTATTTCACTTCTAAATTACTTTGAACAACTGACTATTGTATGATCTTTTAATGAAAGTGAAAGCTTTGGAACATTTTTGTTGTTGTTCCTCTAAGATCTTAGTTTCAACCTGAACTCATGACACAGAGGTGGAAACACATCGACCTCTTCACATTTTTAATGCAGAAATGATGCTGCACGGTCATCTGCTCTGACTTAAGGTAATACAAAGCAGCTTCACTACAATTCTCACACACCAAATCCAATGACAGGGCTTCAACTCCAACACGCCTTTTACAAATTCGTCCAATTTTAATCTGAAGGCTTGGACACTGACGAATCTTCGTCAGCTTGTGCTTCGACTCCTGGATTACCACGACGACTTCACAAAGGTGATTCAATTCTACTGTAGTACTTCATCTCAAAGGATGCTGAAGGCACTTCGATAACTTAAGTCAAAAGCTCTCTGGTTACCTTTTCAAGGTAAAGCTTGGTAACCATTTAACAACTCGGTCACCAGTGGATTGAACTCTTCAGACTGCTTCAAAGTTAAACAAAATAATCATCGCTATTTGCCATTCTGCTTAACAGTGTGAATAAAAAGACAACCACCAAACCCTCAGTTGTGTCCATGTAATTTATATGCTCTAGTCTTTTACGCACTTCTTCCACTGATTTTAACAAAGGGTGTATTTCTTTGTCTTAAAGCAAACAAACTGTGGTATTTTAAAAAAATATGGTAATGGGATATCTTTGTCATCCTAGATGAGCCTGGATGTTTCCAGGCTACAAAGGGCACTGGAACTCAGTCCCACCAACAATATCCCTTTCCTTCTCCCCTCATGCCGCAACCAAACCAAATCGTCCTGGATGCAAGAAGGTTGAAGCACTGGGTAATGCAAGAAGACTAAGGGGGGCACCAAGCTTCTCTGATGCTTTTTCCAAGAGAAAGGCAACAAAGCTTATATCTTGGCATTGACCTATTGAAAACATTTCTGAAAACCTTTGGTTTCTAACCAATAAAGATACATACCCCTATAATACTCAAGCCTTTAAGGTAGTCCTGACGAGGTTGGGCTTGAGGCACACAGCCTGCTAGAACCACTTTCTTCTTCCCTTCTTGGGCTTTCCTAAAGAAGGACAGACAGACAGTGTGTTAGTAATTTCAGAATTTATAATTTTCAACTTCAAAGCAGTCATATTGTGCATGTGACACAGGAAAGCAATCGCAACGAAAACATTTCCAAACTGAAAGCAACTTGTACACGTTTGAACCTCAGAAACCAAACCAACCAACGCGCCAAAAGAACCCCGTGTGAAGCCATCAGGCTGCAGCACACGTTCAGGCTGCTCAGTTCGCGGAGCAGCTGCAGAGGCCACCACCACTGTGTATCTTGGACAAAAGCGCAACCTTGAAAGCCGTAATCAAGGTCCGTTAACCTTTATTTGTCACAATGATAGCAGAGAATCTGGTCAAGAAAGATGGGACAGATATTAAGTGCAATTCAAGAGAAGTTGCAGAGAATGCAAGGGAGAGCCTACACAGACAGGAACCGCTAGCTCAGAACATCAGCATTTATGTAGTACCAGTCAGAAACGATCAGGTACATCAGGCTTCTGATGTTTACTTGAAAATGTTTATTTTTAGATGCACTTAAAAACTTTTAGGTAAATATTTTCTTAAAATCATATTGAGCATTTTCAAGCTTTAACTGCTTGCCTTTGGCAGAGAAACGTTTGTCTGGATATTAACTTCAGTAATTCCTTAGCTTCGATGCTACCTTAGCACCAAGCAGGAAAGCAAAACACTAAGACTAAATGTTAACACTGTTCATTTTGCTAGTAATACTTTGACTCGCTTTGAATCCAACACTGAGTATCAAGTCATCACTGAATCTTCAAACTAGAGGAAGCCCTGAACAAAACCATCAGCTGCATACAAAACAGCGAGATGCAAAACCTGCCTTAAACTTTGAAGATCATCCATTAACACATTCACCCAACACGACTACTGCATTATAATGTGCAAAACAGTAAAGAAGAGAAGCACTGAATAATTTCAGCAGACTTGCTAGGTCTGACACATCGCGGGTTGCTCTAAGAACGATCTTTCACAGTTGCATGCTGTATCACAACCTCCTGGCAGATCTCTGTCAAACTGGAACCTTGTAAATCTGTATTTTCTCCAGCAATATATGGGTTCATGAAGTGTTTACTGATATGTTGGAACAGGCTAAGACATGTCATAACATTTTTCAGAAAAATCATCTTATCCAAAATACACAATTGCTTAGATAATTTGATACTTTTCAGCTTGCTTGAGCTGTCTCCAAGCTGAATGCTCTAGAGAAAGTGATGTTCGACAAGCGCAACAAGGATGCTACAACTGAGTATCTGGAGATCTCCAGCAAATGCAAATTTAACAAAGAAAAAAAAGAAAAAAAACCACAGACTGGTACCACACACAGTTCTGCTACTCACAAATTTCACTTCATATTCTCAATATGGACAAATTTATTTTCAAATTGCAGCTTAAATGAAATCACACAAATTGTAATATTAAAGGAGATCATAGGACATCTTGTCAAATACGTTGTGTTGGCTACTGCACTAAAAATTAGGTATTTCGAAGAAAAAATTAAATATCCTATATATAGACAAGTGTGAAATAACGGGAAAATGTATTACACCTATTACCTCATATCTAATACAAATGCAGCACATCTCTATAAAATACTCAATTTTGTTTTAGTGGGACTTCCAGAAATCTTCAGACATTCATCATACAGAGCCTCATTGGCCTCTACTTGCATGCTAAGGTATATAATATAAATGCAAATCCTTTCATCTCGTCCTTGATAATATTTCTGTGGATAAAGAACTATGATGAAATGCTAATTTAGTATATTTCTTAGGCAGGGAACATAGCAACATTTCTCTGAAATCTGCAATCCTTCTTTTCTTTCAGTGGTAAATATTTAAGGGTTTTGCAAAACTTCAGTAGAGGTCACCTACTTCTACACATCCAAGCAAAAATAATAATAATAAAAAAAAAATCTACTTCATGCATTACCTAAAAATGTCACATAGCACCGTGTGACACTCCACTAACTCAAAGGATAAAAATCACTACTTCTCCAGTCTAACAGACTCAGCCTAACGCCTGGAGGCAAGACAATAAGACCTGTCTGCAGCAAACAAGGCCCACATCCCGAGGCAACTCGGCAGCTGGTATCATCTGCTGCTAGCAACAGCCGTCTCCGTCTATTTGAAAACCTGTGAGCACTACAGAAGAAAAACCTTTTATTTGAGTCTTTTTCTCTGAGCAAAAAAAAATAAACAAAGTTTCCCCTGACACATTAAATGGCATTTTAATGTTATTTCACAGCTTTAACATTTTGCCGTATCTTCTGGGACTATAACTGGAGCTGGGGGAAAAAAGTTGGACTGAATATTCTTCATAATAAACATTGCCTTAATTTAACTTTTTTAAAGTTGTACAGGTCTCTACAGAATAAAGGATTCTGTACACTGAATTTTTTTTGCTTTAAGATGCAATTAAATGGAAATGCCAGAACCAAATTTCCAATTGTAGTTGACTTTCATTACTCCCACAACACACTGTGCAGTCCATCACATCAACCACCATAAATGAAAAAACATTATAAGGAAATTATGAAAATTTTTGCCTCATTTTCAAGAAACCACTTCTCAAAATATGCATTCCAGTACTATATTGTCACCTCCTTTTATTATTGTTTAATGAGCCCTCCTCATTTTAACAAAAGCCTACAAAAATTATTCTTCAGAAATCTAGTTAGCACAGCAACTGTATTAGAAAAGCCTTTATCCTTCAAAAAAATGAATAGTAATGAGAATCATACCTCACAGAATCTAGGAGGTGGCACAAATAAATACATCTTCCCTTTCAGACACCCTTTATATTTTTCAGTGACATAAATCTTACCTTGAACTTTCAATTTAATTGCATCAGGAAACATTTTCTAGAAATACACTCTCTTCTAAGAAGTACTTGCAAGATATGCATCTGAATAGAAATTTAATTAGAGCAATTCTTTTTTACAGAAAGGAATTATTCGAGCTACTTCCTAAGTAATGGGCAGGGAACAAAAAACAAGTGAGAAATAACCACAGACTGGTCAGTGTGAAACGCACAATTTGTAAAGTGTTGCTCTAGCACCACATGTGTGAAACCAAGTATTATACCTACAAATCCCATTTTTTTTCCTCTAAAACCCTTTTTTGGTGGAATTAAACAACAAAGGCATGCTTAAACAATGAACAGCAGCAGCAGGACTAATGAACAGTCAAACGCAAGTAAGAGAAGAAGCAACAGCGGAATTTTCAGCAAAACCAATAAATTAGGGGTAAAAGTGCTTTACAATGAGCTTGTTAAGCTTTGCATTGACAGTAGTTGGGAAATGTTCATAAAAATAATATGATGAACTATTTCCAATGTACAAGAATTGTTATCTGAAATGCAAATGGAAGTATTTCATCCCAAATCCTACCAGGCAGATGACAACTGACCACACTGTCAAGTAAGTATTTACGTCAATGAGCTATTTCTACCAAACACAGTACTCCTCTCCCTGTTCTTGTACCAGCACGAACCTGGTGACTTTCATTTTAACAGGTGCATAGGTAAATCAAATTGTGCCATGCACCAGTGTAATCTACTCGGGCCGCTCTCACAGCCTTCTATTACACCAAATCCACAACACTCCTTACCAGGCATTTTAGCAAGGTATGAAGCCATAAATGAACAGGAGGTTTGTGCCCAGAATCACCCAAAGAAATGTTAGAATACATGAAAATGTTATGCTACAGCAGCTCTGGCTGAATAGAGTTCGAGCTGTGTATGTGATGAGATCAGGTTACCAAAAGTTATAAAGTAAAGCTGGGGGATACCACTTCCCAGGCTGTAGGAATGATGTTGCAACATCTCTGGGGTAAAAGAAACGCGATTTGGCTAAAGATTCAAATGTGCGAAAGATCTTCCAACTGTCTCATCTGCTGAATTAATCAATAGAGAGCCACAAGTTTTAAAGAGAGCGCAGCATCCCTGGAATGAAAAGGTGGTGCCCGTTTAGCATCTGGAATACATTCCTGAAAATCCATAAAAATCATACAGCTATTTTCTGTTTGAAAAATTACAAATGGTAACTTGAACTGTGGCTTTACAGGCTTCGAGCCAATCTAATGTCTCCTTACTACCGAAAGGCTGGCTTCCCATCCTCCCTGCCTGCTATTGCCGCTCCCACCTTTCTCCAACTCCGACCCCTCCTCTTCCTCGTTTCTGGCGACGTGGTCTCCCTCCTCCTCTGCTCTAAGCTCTGCGGCTCACTGGACCCTGTCTGGACCCCATTTAACTCGCTGACAGAGGAGAAACCTAGTGAGCCAAGTCTGGGGGTTGCCTACCAGTTTATTCTGCCAAGTGGGAGCAGGGCAGCAGTAGAACCAAAACAACGGTCAAGGGAAAGCTGCTAGGAAGGAAGCAGAAAAAGAGAAGGACACGGGAACTCCTCGTTTCACCTTACGGTGAGCTTACCAAGTCTCATGAAACCTTTGAGACAGATTGCAATATGCTGAGCAGCATGGGCCAATAAAAAGCAAAAAGGATGTAAGAAAGTCACGGATGTCATGCCCTCGAGGCTGGGGCAGACCCACAGCCAACAGCATCTGGAAAACCTGACGAAAACTTCTCCACATTATGAATTACCGCAGCGTTACAATTATCTCCGCAGAACGGCTTCAGGCTACCTAGGCCTATCAGCTTCCTTGTGCACTTCCACGGCCCCCAAAGAAGTACCATGGTCTCCTCACAAGGCACATGAAGATGTCACGTTCATTTGAGGATGCTTATGCTAATTATTGGCGTTTACTAAATCGAGGACCACTCTCTAGCAAAGCAGCCCTCTGGTTACTGTGCTGCATCCTCTGAACTTGCCTCCTTCGGCAAAAACTCTCAGGTAACATGTAAATACTCTGGGGGAAAAACCAAGTTGCACGTGTTCCTCCTGACAAGCAAGCATGTCTGTTCTGAAACTACTTCAGAAAGACATAAATGCTTACTCCATCAGACTCCAAACTGAGGTTGTAAAGACGT